GCATTCCATTCCTGGGGCTTCGCACCTGAGACTCCATATTTTTCACTCCAGGGGATCCAAACCTCTCCTGGATACTGGGAGGAAGGGGGAGCTTTGAAGGCCTGGGATCCAGGTGACTCACCACCCCCAGGTCCTCTATCCCCTGGTCACCAGCAAGAAGGACAGCCCTGTCACTGCAGCATAAGTCCCTGAGCACGTGACTTTGGGTGCCTGAAACAGGCTTCCTGATCTCAATCCCCTGCTTTGCCACTTTCAAGTTCTGTGATTTTGGGCTTGTTACCTAGCATCTCCAGGCCTCAGTGTGCTCATCTGCAAAGTGGGAGTGATTGGGGGAGTAGTCACTGAGAACTTCCATCAGGAGAGCTCCACAAGGTACCCAGTCACCATGATGCTCAGGAGGTGCCAGCTACTGTCATGACTCAGAGCAGGGAGCTGTCCCTGGGCCCAGGTTTTGGAGCCCCAATCACTCCAACAAGTCCAGGTGGCAGGCCTGAGAAGTAGGTGACTCTTATCTGTGACCTTCCCCGACCTTGGTGCCTGTCCCAGAGCCTCCCCTCCTCATCTGGCCCCACCCACATTCTGTCTCCTTTAGTGTCTGCAGCTCTGGCCCATTCCCTCTCTCAGGTCCCTGGGACCCAGTAAATGCAGAGCAGAGATCCACCGCAGACCTTGAGCAACGCCCCCACCCCGTCATTAGTGGAAGACCCTGGGCTTGCTGCCTCTATATACTTCTTGTATTCTATCAGTGGTCCACTCTGACCCTCACTTCATTTTCTCTTTGACCCTAAACTGGGCAGACCTTTCTCCTGCTTTTCCCATCAGGTATTCTCAAACTGAGAGACCATTTATGGTTGAGTTGAGTTTGGGTTGAAAGGACAAAGTAGGGAGAAGCATCATCTACCCTTCCCTTTAGATCAACCCAGGAAGCAGAGGCCCGACTTGCAGGAGGAGAGAGAAGGGAGTAGAGCTGGTGTGCAGGAGAGGAAGCAGCAGAAGAAAAGGGACAAAGAAAAGCTGATGGCTGGTGGCTCTAGGACTCCAAGGACTCAACTGAACTCATAGAGTCATCAGGAACCCAGTGAGGGTTTTGGGAGAAGGGGCCCTAAGCCCCACTACCCCTGTTCCCAAGACTGGGGCAGGAGTTGGGACACAGTGAGGGGCTCCATGGTCCTGCTCCTACTCACCTCTTAAATATGCCGATAGCACCTACAAACACTCGAATCCCAGTGATTTCATTTTCATAGTCTTTAAAGGTACTGAAATGTCATCCTCCTCCGGGCCCGTACGTCTCTATTAGATGAAGAACCAGGTGGGATAAAATAAAAAAACTACACAGGGACATGTTGGTTATTTCTGCCCAGAAGAGGGTGTACCCCTCCAGACAATGGGACACGTCTGAGACTAGAGTTAGTCTGTGAGAAGGGCTGGGCCCAGACCCCAGGTTCTGGATGGAGGGAGGTGAGGGTGGCCTCCAGGGGGATGGGCTGGAGCGGGGAGACCCAGCCAGACTTACACCCTGCCCAGCAGGTGGGGCTCCACAGGAGGGTGAGGGTCAGCCATAGCAGCATGGCTTCTGGCTGGCGAGTGAAGGGCTCCTGGAGAGAAGAGAACAGGCCATCTGACTCTCAGAGACAGGCCCCACCGGATCTTGTTGGCCCATCCATGGCAGGGGGCACCGTCTTACCTGGCCTGGAGAGTCTTGTGGTCAAGTCCTGGCACTGGGGAGTCTTGTTGTACCTGGGTGCCCTCCACCTGGCCCTTTATACCCTCCTGGGCCCTATGGGCCCCCCTCCAGAATTAAGGAACAAAGGGGCCACCAGGGGGACAGAAAGGAGCTGGGCAGTGGGGGCTCTTCCTGGAGGAATCCCCAGAGCCATCCAGGGGGAGGATCCCGGACGTGCTGTGTTTACTGTCTTGGCCCTGTGGCCTACACAAACAAAATGAAACAGTGACAAGCATTTTGCTGTCACCTATAGGTCTCTCTCCTGGGCACCTGCACTTGACCTTGACTTTGGAGGTGGGGGAGGTTTCCTGAGAGCCCTTTCCAGCTTGACCAAATGGGGTTCAACCCCACAGGGGTGCTTCAGGGTAGTTGCCCTCAGTAGCTTCATGAGGCCCAGGACTCCTACCTCGTGCAGAACCTGGTCCAGGGCCTTATTCATGCTTGGGCAGAGCCCTGGGTCCCCTGGCCTTTCCCCTCTGGCCCACAGAGAGCCGGAGTGGACATTCCAGTTCTGAGTGCCTGGTGCCAGGTGGTAGAGACACCCCAGGTGCTGGCCCTCCATGGCCTGTCACTGGAAGACGTCTGAGATCTTTCCTTTGTGCTGGGTCTGGTGTAGCTGGGGATGAACTGGGCTGAGTGGGCTATGGGATGACCAGCAGCAATGACACAGGACAGGAGGCGCTGTGGGTGGGGACAGGGTGATTCTCCAGGACAGTTCTCCCCAGAGCTCCTGGGCAAGGCCGAGGGGTCAGGCTTGATCTGGGAGGGAATGGGGTGTTTCTTGAGGGCAGGGGATCTGGGGACCCTCTTGGTACAGCAAGCCCAGGCTTTCTGTGACTGGACAGAGCTCAGGCTGTCTGCACAGCCTCCCTGACCTTTGGGAAGAGCCATGGGGTCACAGTCCTCAATATAGGTGTACTGTGGGCATGGATCTGGAGCCAGATCGGGTCTGAATCCCCACTTCCCTACTTCCTAGGCATGCCCTTTGGGGAGCTCATGTCACTCGTGTGCTTCAGTTGTCCCCTCTGTTATATGTGGGTAGCAACAGACCCCCCTCACAGGTGTTATGAGAATTCAGTGAGATCCTCCATCCAGGGGCCTGAACACCAAAAGCTTTACACCTGTGGTCAGGTATGCAGGTTATTCTTTGAGCAGCCTTTGGAATCGCCCAAGATAAGACACAACAGACCTGTCCATCTAGGTGACAGGTTCCATGAATGGTGGTGTCCTCGCTGTGGCGGTGAACTATTCAGGCCTGGAGAAGAAATGGACCCCACAGCTGTGCTGACGCGTTGCCACAGGAAACAGGCTGGGCGTAGACTACAGTGTCCTGAGCCAACCCCCTCCATGTGGTTACAAGGAGAAGAGGTGCAGAGCATGGACTGGTGTGTTCACAGCCTCACTCGGAAGTGCTGGCTGCCAGGAACTGGGACGTTGGCTTCATCGAGATGGCTGTGCTGGGGGGCCTAGGGTCAGGGTGGAGGCCCTGTCTAGCTGTCACCTTCCTTACTTACATCAGGTCCCTAGGCCAGGGGTCAGTACACTATGGTCCAAAGGCCAAGTCCAGCCCTCCATTGGTTTTTGCACAATCCGTGAGGTAAAAATAAATGGTTAGAAAAAATTCAGGGGTAGAATGTGACTCGTGGCCAGTTCATGAAATGCCAATGTAATTGTCCACAAACAAGTGTTATTGCCCATTCATTTGTATATCATCTGGGGCTACATCCAGGCTGCAAAGACAGAGCTGGTCAGGTGTGACAGAGACTTTATGGCCCAGAAAACCTGAAACGCGTGGCCCTTCACCCACAAAGTCAGGATCCCTGTCCCTACCCTGCAACAGATGCAGCCCTGCCCATGGTCATGGCTGCAGGGGGCTTGGGGGCTTCATTCGACAACCAGCCTTTAGTGGGCAGAAGGGAGCAGAGAGCAGCTTTGTCCAGAAAGCCATACCCCTCCTTCTGGCCGTGCACTGGTCTCCCTGGACAGGCTCCTAGGGCTCAGGCTGCCACTGACTCATGTTGCAAAGATGAGAGCCCCCATTGTCCTCCAGAGCCTTCACCCAGCCACCAGAGGCCTTCAGCCCCATGAATGCATCAGAGGCTGGGCTGGGGAAGGGCAGGGCCAGCAGGCTGCAGAGGGGCAGAGAACCCCTCCCGAGGCCCTGGAATCCTCCTGGGGGAGGTGGAGGTGGAAGAGGCCTAGGACCTTGGCAGGCACAGCTCCTAGAGGAAAGGGCCCAGAGACATCACAAAGGGGCCTTGTGTTCTTGTCCCAGCCCACCCTTGGGCACTTTTTCTGATAACGCTGTCTGTTCTTGAGCCTTCCTTCTAGATGCAGGCTGCCAGGGTTTGAGCCCAGAAGGAGGGTCTGTCTGGGCTGGGACTCCAGGAAGAAGTCCCTGGGGTGGAAGTTGAAGGAAGAAACGGCTGCCAACCTGGACAAGTAAGGGTTGACAGGACACGCCCGAGAGCACACGGGAGGTGCATTTTCATAGAGTGCATGAGCATGCTTATAAGGGATGCACATGCACACACATGCATTCAAAATGCTCACACGTGGATGCACCCTTTAACACACACACACACTTGCCCAGCTTTCCCTA